AGGTTCTTGATCTGTTGCTCACTCTCTTCTCTTTCTGGTGTCTCCATGATGCAGATAGTGCTGTACTTCCTGTTGTCCAAAATGTTTCTTAAGCTCTCCTCATTTTTTTAAAGATTTTATTTATTTATTTATTTTTAGAAAAGAAGGGAAGGAGAGAAGAAGAGAAATATCAATGTACGGTTGCCTCTCATGAGTCCCATGCTGGGAACTGGCCTGCAACCCAGGCATGTGCCCTGACTGGGAATCAAACCACGATTGTGTGGTTTGCAGGCCCACGCTCAATCCACTGAGTTACACTAGCCAGGGCTCTCCTCATTTTTTAAAATTATTTTTTTCTATTTTCTGTTCTGCCTGCATGTTTTTTCTACTTTGTCTCCCAATCAGTAGACTGATTTGATCTTCTGCTTCATCTAACCTATTGTTTATTCCTTCTAGTGTATTATTTAATTCAGAGATTGCATTCTTTATTTCTGACTGATCCTTTTTCATGGTTTCTATGACTTTTTTCATGCTGTAGAGTATCCTTATAATCATTACTCTAAATGTTTTATTTGATAAATTGTTTACCTACACTTCATTTAGCTCTTCTCGAAAATTCTCTTGCTTTTTATTTGAGGTCTGTTTCCTTTTCTTCTTATTTTGGCTGATTTCTCTATTTTCTCCATTAGAATGCTAAATTAATCAGCCATTAAACTGAGCAGTTGTTAATTTAATCAATCTATAATCAGAAGTCAGTTTTAAGTGCCACCAGGTGGGGCAGAGTAATTCTTGCAAGTGGGGGATTGCCTCCCCTTAGGCTGATGCCATTTGGAGAAGCATGCTGTGCCTTAGAGAAATGGCCTGGCAGTTTAGGAGATGACTTACCACATGGATTCTGGGGGCTCAGAAATTCTGGGGTTCCCTCAGATCTCTCCCCAGAGCCACCAACCCCAGACTCTCCTCAAGCATCTCTAATCCAGTCTGCCCTTCCTTTGCTGGCACCCAGGGTACTGACTGAAAACAAAAATTTATGCTTTGCCCTTTAAGAGTCTCTCTGTGTCTCCATCCATCTCTTCCTGGCCAACACAATCCTTGTTGCTTTTCATAGCTGGATTTTATCAGGGTTCCTTTCTGGCTTTGTTGCTATAGGCTGGAGAGCCCAGATTGGGGTTTAGACCCTACTCTTCTCAAGGGTAATCTCCCTGTCACTGAAATATTCCTCCACCTGTCAGAGCTCAGCCAGTCCTCTTGCATCTCTTCTGCATTCCCTACCAGTCACATTGTGGTGAAGTGTTTTCTTCTGTCTCTCCATGGTTATAAGGCTTCTCTCCTGCTAGTGTTCAGTTGGTTACTCAGGATGATTTCTCTACAATTTACTTGTGATTCCAGATTGGTCCTGGGAGGAAGTTAGTGTAGCTTCCATTTACTTCTCCACCATTTTGGATCTCTCAATAATTTTAAAAGGATTTAATTTGTACAAGGTATGTTCTTTGACCATAATAAGATTAAGTTAGAAATAAAAATTTAAAAAGATCTCTAAAAATTCCCAAATATTTGAAAACCAAACTTCACCCTTCTAAATAACAATGGACCAGTGAATATATACCAAAAAGAATTTGAATGTATTTTGAAGTGCATGAATATTAATATACAATGCAGAATTTATGGGATGCTATGAAGCCAATACTTAAGGGGAAATACCATAGTACTAAATGCCCATATTGAGCAAGAAACATTTTAAATTAGTAATCTTAACTTCTATTTTAAGAAACTAAATAGGAAGAATAAAAGATAAAGATAATAAAGACCATAGCAGAAATCAATGAAATAGAAAAATATAAAACAACAGAAAAAACAATTTAAACCAAAACCTGGTTCTTTGAAAAGCTCTAAACTGACAAACTTTTAGCCAGACTGATTGTAAAATAAGAGGGAAGACAGCAATTATTAATATCAGAATTGAGAGAGGTAACATCTCCATAGGCTGTACATGTCAGAAGGGTAACAAGGAACTACTACAAACAATTACGCCTATAAATTTGACAGTTAATAAAAAAGTGTTCAGATAAGAATGGAAGAAGTAAAACTATCTTTATTAGAAGATGACATGATAATCTATAAAGAAAATGTGATGGAATCTACAAAAACTACCAACAGTAATAAATAAGTTTAGCAAGAATTCAGGATTCAAGATCAATTACAAAAATTAGTTGTATTTCTATATATTAGTAATGAACATTCAGAAATTGAAATGAAAAGATAGCATTTAAAATCACGTCAAGGCTATACTTTCAGGGATCATTTCTATAGTTTGTTAAAATCATGTCAAGTAATATGGAAGACTTAATGGCAAATCTCACAAAAAGACCTATACACTGAAAACTATCAAACACTGCTGAGAGAAATTCAAGGTGATATAAATAAATGGAGACATATACCTTGTTCATTAGTCTGGTGACTCAATATATTGAGCTGTCAATTCTTTCCACATTGATTTACAGATTCAGCAATCCTAATAAAATTCTTAGCATATTTATTTTTTGTAGAATTGACAAGCTGATTCTAAAATTCCTATGGAAAAAGTTAGAATAAACAGAACAACTTTGAGAAAGAACAAAGGTGAAATATATTTGTATTTCAAGACATATTATAAAGCTGCAGTAATCAAAACAAGATGTTATTGGCTTAAATGTTGAGAAATACATCCATGGAATGGAATAGACAGTCTGGAAATAAACACACACATAGATGGACAACTGATTTTTGAAAAAGGTTAAAGGCTATGCAATGGAGAAATGATAATATTTTCAATAAATGGTGCTGGAACAATTATATATGCTCATGCAAATAAAAAATGAAGCTTCAACTCATATTTTGTGCCATAGATAAAAATTAACTTAAAATGGATCACAGACCTAAATGTAAAACTGAAAACTAAGAACTTCTAGAAGAAAATTCAGAAAAAATCCTTTTGGCTTTCTGTTGGGCAAAGTTTACTGAGATACAATATCAAAAGCACAATCTATGTAAAAGCATATTTATAAAAACAGGCTTCATCAAAATAAAAGCCTTCTAGTCTTTGAAAGACATTAAGAGAGTAAAAAGCAAATCACAGACAGGAACAAAATATTTGCAATCCATATAACAAATGAAGTACTTGTATCCAGAATACGTACACTCTGAGAACTCAACAGAAGGAAATAAACAACCCAAAGAAACTGGGCAAAAGATCAAACCTAAAAAAGATATGACGGTAAATTAGCATAAGAAATGTTCAATATGATATGTCATAAGGGAAATGCAAATTAAAACCACAGTGTGATACCACTGCATACCTATTAGAATGGCTAAATGAAAAAGACTAACAATGCCAGGTGTGTAAATGGATATGAAAAAGCTAAGACTCTCATATACTGCTGGTGGGAATTTAAAATAGCACACCACTTTGGAAAACAGTTTGGCATTACCTTAAACAGTTGAACACATATCTACCATACAATCTAGCCATTCCACTCCTAGCTAATTACCCTTGAGAAAAGAAAGTATATATTCTTACAAAGATTTGTACATAAATGTTCATAGATTTATTTGTAATAGTCTCCAAACTAGTACAATCCAAATGCCATCAACAGGTGAATGGATCACTTCATCATGTATAAGTGTATCAGATCGTCACATTATACCCCTTAAAATTACACAATATTATATGTCAATCATATATCTGCAAAGCTGAAGAAAAAGGAAAAAATACAGGTGAATGGATAAACTATTTAAGGTACAGCCATACAGTGGACGACTACTCAGCAATCAAAAGGAACTAACTACTGATACATGCAACAATTATGGATGAATCTCAAAATAATTTTGAAAGAAGACAAAGCAATTATCTGCCATATGGATGCATTTATACAAAACTCTAGAAAATGTAAACTAATCTATTGTGGAAAAAAGCAAATCCTGTAGTGGGTGGATATATTCTCTGTCTTGATTATGTTAATTATTTCCTGGTTATTATGTATGTCAACACTGTAAAGATTATATAATTAAATGTGTAAAATCAATTATATCTCAATAAACCTAAAAACAAACAAACAAAAAAAACCTCTGCTGTTGCTGAGCCTCACACCAATTGAAGCTGTGTGTGTTCAGTGGGCCATCCCTAACATTTTAGGAGCCTAGGAGATGAGCACAAACGTGGATGCCATAACCCACAGCCTTTCTCCCTTGTCTCTCTAGGCCAGACACCACCCAGCTGCCCTGGGCATCCTCAGATTTAAGGCAATACATGTATATGAGCACAAGAGGTTCCCTGCAGCCTTGGAAATAAGGCATGGGGTCTGAGGTCCTGAGCACTGAGACCATAACCTGAAAGGCAGTACTGGAGGTGTTTAAAGCAATGCTAGTCTGCAAGGGGATAAGACAAAAACTAAGCAAGTTTAAAACATAGCAATGTAACATGGCTGCAACATCCAAGCATGGGGTCATTTTTCTAGCAATAGGTGTTTATTGAATTTTACAAAAGCAGTCTGTCTTCAATGAATTGGATGCATATATAACAATTTAATACATATAAAAACAATTTTAATAAAGACCCTTCAATGCAGGTAATTGCTTTAAAGCACCCGGATCTGAGAAGAGGCCCCTAAACTATCCTTGGTTTGAGTTGTGCTGAATGTGGGGCATACCCTGTTAAAAAGATTTCTGGTGTGACTTTTGGGAGGTTGCAATCACCATCTGATTGATGTATCTTTCTGCCTTTCTGGGTTTTTCTATGCGGAGTATTAGCTGCATTGAAAGTAGTAGTGATTGTGTGAACATGATTCCTTGACAGATAGCTGTCTTCCTCACCCAGAATTTGAGAAGAGCTGCCATTTTGGGGGGTGAGGCTGGGGTAGGAAAATCAACAGAAAAGATTATGGCTTTTTTTTCATTTGAACATGAAATCACCGGCAGCACCATTTCTTCCCACTCCTTCAGTCTGTCTGGACTCGTTCCCTGAAGATAACAAACAGGCACCTTACCTTGTACACACAGGACTTTGCATTCAGGAAAAACAGCTCCACAGTGGTTTTATCCTTTAAAAATGATATGCTCTCAATGTAAAATCTGAAAAATAGTAACACAAATTTGTTTCTTCAGATATTTTTTCTTCTCTTGGCATGATTTCATTTCCTTATTTAATTTCTCCCAGAGCAATTAGAGAATTTTCAGAAACCAGTGGATGTTGTGCATTTTGTCCCCTTTGCAAAGAAATCTGCAACATGTATGTATATAGGTGAATGTTTGCATATATGCAGATAATCTCTTAGGTTTTTGTGTGTTGGAAGGTGAGTTAAAGTGAATCTGCAGGGACATCCAATGGCAAACCCCACTCTCCCTGTGGGGCCCATTCCTTGACACATATTCTGGGAACTTGTATCACTTCAGACAGCTTCAAAACAGGCCCAAGTGAGCTTTGAGGTTGAAAGCAGAAGTCAGCTGACTAAGCACCATGTAATTGAACCTTGAGGCCTGCAGGCAGTGCAGTGATTTTCAGACATGTTTGGTATGAGGGCCCCACGCCTACCGTCTACCTACCCTCTTCTAGCAGGAGAGTTTCAGTAACAGCCTCCTTCTTCCCAATCATCCTTCCAGGCTTTGGGCTTTCCCAGGGCTAGAAGCCAGATTCTCAGTAGTACTTAACCTTGGACTTTTCTCATGCAAATCAGAGCATTCTGGGCCTCACTCTCCTCATCCCCTTTCTGGGCTTTTGCTTGGTCAGTCTGTTTGGCCAAGAGATTGCAGGTCTCTTAGGAGAGCTGAAGAGAGGAGAGTAGAGTCCTTCACAATATCTGTTTTCATAATCCTGATATGATGAAGCTGGGGCCTCTGGAGTGAGGGAGTGGGCCAGCCGAGGCTCCATTTTTCTCAAGAGTCAGAACCCAGTTTGAATAATGCAGGAAGAACATACCACCCCAAGACAATTTACAGCTTGGGTCCTGAAAGAGAATTTATTTTCAAATGGTTGGGAGTCAGGATAAAGCTAGCCTGATTGTGGTTCAAGTGTGCTTGTCATTAGCTCTGCAAAATCATGCCAGGCCTTGGGCATTTGCTTGCCCCCACCAGTCTTCAACAATGACAAAACATTTAATAAATAAATAAATTGAAAAGGGCCATGGAAGATTTTATCACTGAGATGGTAAAATTATTTGAAGAATTTCACCTCTAATGTTGAATCATCAAGGGAAATTCAAGAAAGAGAATGAGTCCATTGTATTTTTACATACAAGGGTTTGTCTCACTTATAAGCGAGATTAATGAAGATTGATGAGTGTTAGGTTTGTAAGAGGAAAAAATTAAGGTTTAAGGTGGGGAGATCAAGGAGGGTCGGGGGAAATAGGCTTTGGAATTAGAAAGATCTAGAACATAGAGTCTTTGTGTCTTTTCTAAAATGGGTTTTATGACTGCATTTCACAGGGTTTGGGGAAGAATTAAATGAGATAATATATGTTAAACACTTAATACATTTTAACAATTAACACCTTTTCAAACAAACTATTTAACAAGTTTTTGACAAAAATTTATTTTCTGGAATTTAACACTTCAGGTTTGAGTTTAAGATCCTTAGTATACAGAAGGGGATAATGATGCTTACTTAGGAGGGTAATTTAAATGAGATATGCATAAAATGCCCAGTATACTGCTTGTCACACAAAAGGGATTCAAGAAATTCTAACAGCAAAACTTGCAATATGTTAAAAACAGTTTAAAGGACATCATAGGATTTGCACTATATCTGAAAGCTAGGATAAAACAGGAATCTGCAAGATAAAAAGAAATCCAGATGGGGAAAATACTATAGGTAAAGAACGTCTCTTTTGGGTGATAAACATACATAATTTGGCTTTCACCAAGGCAGAATTCTTTATAATCTGGGTATTCTCCAATCAGTTTAGTTTCTCCTGCCCTGGCCACTTGCTGGACAGATCAAGGCTAGTCACCTGACTCAAAGGCAGCCTCTGCAGGATGAGGGGCGTGGGTTGTAGCAGGATGGATGAAGGAAGGCCTTGCCAGAAGAGCCTCCTCAGTGAGACAAGGATTGGACACAGCAATCATGCATAATCTCTCAGAAAAACAAGTCAAGAGGGAAACTGTGGAGGTAGAGAGGCTCTGCACAGCAGCCATGAGGCAGGGAAGGTCGACAGATAAAAGTCAAGGGCAGGAGCTGATGGAGCAGATTGGAGAGCAATGTGATTGTGGACGCAAAGCAGGGGACCTGGAATGACCTGTCACTCAGTTTCTTGCAGCTTGAAGGACCTTCTGGTGCAAATAGGTGGTGGTGGTTTCCTGCTTTCTTTGCTTTTTTTTTGAGTTCTTAATAAATCTTTAATCATTGAACAGGTTTTTTTTCTTTTTAAATATATTTTATTGATTATACTATTAGAGTTGTCCTATTTTCCCCCCTTCAATACGCTCCCCTCTGTTCCCCCTTCCCACCAACATTCCCCACCTTTGGTTCATGTTCATGGGTCATACATATAAGTTCTTTGGCTTCTACATTTCCTATACTATTCTTACCCTCCCCCTGTCTATTTTCTACCTTTGGTTGTTCCATGTAGTTCAGTTTTCTGTATGTTCTGGTTGTTTTTTGTTTTTAAATTGTTGTTGTCCTTCTTTTGGTTGTGCAAGGAGGCACAATGTGTCTATCTATGCATCCATCTTTGCTGGAAGTTTCTTTCTTTGCTTTTGCGTCATGTACTTTTTATTCCTTTCCTCTAAGAAATTGAGCAGGTTCAGCAGCAGCACCTCAGCTAATGTTTCCTGAGCTCTCTGATGGCCTGGCCACGCCTAATGCTTTTCATGTGTTTTGCTTAATTCTCACAACAATCCAGGAGACAAATATCTGCCATTACCCCCACTTCACAGATGCAGAAACTGAGTTTTAGAGCTGCGTCTACATGGGAGGGCAATGTCTCGATTTGAATCCGTGGGACTCCATACACAATGCTCTTAAGTGAACCTCCTTTTGACCACCTCTCCTCATTCAACCAGGATTTGTGTGGGAAGCTAAGCCCTAGGTAGCTGGGTGCAGCTCAAACACAGTAAAATTGAACACAAAACAAGATCACTGCAATGTTTCCCAGGTTAACACATATAAGTATGTTTGTTCTTCAGTGCTGCAAAAGCAGAAAGAGAATCAATGGGAAAAAATAAGGTGACAGGTTTGCAATTCACATATAAAACACCTTTTTAAAAGTCGAAGGAGTAGTCTCAGAAGGAAGTGATCTTCTTGTCCTATGAAAATCTCAGGTCAGATTGACAGAATGCGTGATCTTTTTTTTTTTTTTTGTCAAAATTGGGTAATTCTTTTTGCCTTTCACTTTTGATTATTTTTATATATATCTAGCAGAGAAGGAGTGTATTAAAACATAACCTCAAAAATTTTCACACTAACAAGGTTCAAATAATTTCTTAATATTTAAAATCTAGTCATTCATTTTTTTTTCCTTATCTCTGAAACTTTAAAAAAAATTGTGTTTGTGGTCTACAGCAGGAGTCATATAGGCAAAAAGCTGTGAGGGTCACTGGCTAATGTAAAAGAGCAGAGCACATTCGTTCTACTCAGCTCAAGCTCAGTCTCCAAGGTGTGAGCATGAGACTGAGCCAGACTAGTCAGATTCTTTCACACTGGAATATCAATATAATTAGAATGACCTGGAGATTAAAGATGGTTGGAGACTATTGTTCTGCCATTAATACCTTGATGAAATCCTCCTTTGGTTTCTGCTCTCTAGATCCCTGCCTGGATTCATACATTTTCTGAGGCCATGTAAGTCCAGTTCTCCTTCAATTCTGTTAGCCACAATGGGTTACTGCTGGTGGTAACCAAAGGATTCAAATTAACAGTGGCCTTCCCATGTGCTAGGGACAACACAACTCTGTATGCATCATTTCCCTTAATGTTCAGTACAAACAGATGCTGTAGATAGCAAATTATAAACCTATTTTACAGATGAGAAAATTGACACTTAGAGCATTTTCCCCAAACCATATAGATGGGAAGTAGTGGAGCCATGATTGGAACTAAAGCCTAGCAAACTTCAAAGTTCATATTCCAAACCAATATGATATAATGCTTTCCTACAATAACAAGTACAATGAAATATAACATGTACACAATGAAGTGAGGCCCAAGGGAGGGATACAATGAACTCAGCTTATGACTCAAGAGGGAGAAGACTGCCAAACTGAAATCTATAGGACTAAGGATAAGTGTCCTCTGGGACAACTGAGCTGAATCTTAAACAATGCATGAGTTCACCAGGTAAAGAAGGCAAGAAGGGCCTTCCAGGGAAAGGGCATATTGGCCAAAGCAACCCTCTTGCTAGTCTTCAAGAATTTAAGAAACCATATGCAGGGAAACAGGTGGCTCAGTACCAAATCACTTGTGGCTTATTCAACTCTGAACAGACACCTTTTTTACTAGAAACTGGGTTCACCTTGTTCCTGAAGCCCAGACCCCTGACTATACTTTAATTTTAGTAAACAGGTCTCTATCCTGTTTCCTACCACTTTCTGGTGACTCACCCTACTGCTTTCTACCTCTCTGCCTTAGTATCCGATTACCTGCTCACTGAATTCATGATCCCATCTCTCCCCCAAGGGGACCACTTTAATAATTTCATCTTTATAGAGTGTATGAAAAGTATGGATGATTATCTGGGAGAATGACTCCCAGGCACACCTACCAACATGTGCCATGAACTGAAAACCAAATCTAGGAATTCTTAATCAAATGAAAGGGACTATCCCAGACTCATAAAATTAATCTTTTGTTTCAGCCCTTTTTGGCAGAAGGATACTATTTCCTTTCTGAATGCTTACTGTGAGCAATTTCACTTTTTTTTTTCACTTAATATTTTGTGAAGATAAGCCTGTGGTTAAATATTCAGCCTCAAGATGAACCTAGGCTTTTTGACTAGTAATACGTTTTGGAGAGAAATCTCATACAGAGTAACAAATCCAATTTTTTTAGAAGAGAATTTGTCTAGGGAGATTTTGTCTCTACTTTTCATGCTCCTCCCATTAGCATTTTCTCCCTTTCCAGATGGGACAGGTGTTCACTC